TTTAATGAGTTCACCAAAGTGCATCAAAAAGCAAGTTCAGCATCATTCTTCATTCCCCTGCTGTTGGAATTCGGGATGGTCTTAAGTTTTACTCTCAATGCCTACCCTTTTGGCTGTTCCTATAAAAGGGATCTTGGGATTTTCTGAGGTGTCTTCAAAGCTCATTCATATGTTTAATAAACCCTTTCCATGTGTCAGGTGCCACCTCTGGGTTCCTCGCAGTGGTCCTGTAGGACAGAGTAGGGCTGCCCCATAGGTTCCTGAGACTGTAAATCTATATGGAAAGTGACCGCCACATCTTTGACCCTTGGAGCAGCTGGTGGGTTTGAACCACTAACTTTAAAGTTAGCAGCCCAGCGTCTATCCCACTACATCACCAAAACTTCTGGTCAGATGGGAAGGTGGGAGGGTTATCTAACCAAGAGAACAGCGTATGAGAAAGGCCAGGGCCCCAAATCTCTGTAATTGGGGGCAAAATGAAGCTCTGCAGAAATGAACCCAAAAGGGACCCACCATGGAGCCTAGTGTCCAGGCGAAAAGCAGAAACATTGTAGAAGAAATCAGAGGACACAATTTTGGTGACCTTCGGTGGTTGCTGTTAGGTGCCTCGAGTCAGTTCCCACTCATAGTGACCTTGTACACAATAGGACGAAACACTGTCCAGCCAGTCCTGCACCAGTCTTGGAGTTGTTACACTTGAACCTGTGCTGCTGCCCCAGTGCCAGTCCTTCTCATTGGGGGGGCTTCCTCTTTTTTGCTGATGCTCCACTTGCCCAAGCTTGATGTCTTTCTCTAGGAACTGTTCCATTCTGAAAATGTGTCCAAAGTATGAGTGATGAAGTTTGGCCATCCTGACTTCTAAGGAGCATTCTGGGTGTACTTCTTCCAACAGATTTGTTTGTTCTTCTGGAAGTCCATAGTATTTTTAATATTCTTTTCCAACAACATAATTCAAATATTTCAATTCTTGTATGAATTGTCCACCTGTCACATGAGGTTATTGAAAATACCACGGCTTGGGTCAAGTACATCTAAGTCCTTAAATTGACATCCTTGCTCTTGAACACTTTAAAGAGGTTTTGTGCAGTAGATCTGCCCCAGTGCAACATGTTGTTTGATTCCTTGGCTGCTGCTTCCATGAGTGTTGATAGTGGATCCAAACAAAATTAAGTCTTTGACAACTTCAATCTTCTCTCCTTTTGTTATGATGTTATTTATTGGTCCAGTGGTGAGGATTTTTGTTTTCTTTACATTGAGATGCAATCCATACCAAAGGCTGTGCTCTTTGATTTTCATTAGTAAGTACTTTTAGGTTTCTTTGCTTTCAGCAAGCAAGGTTGTTAATGAGCCTTCCTCCAATCCTAATGCCACGCCTTCTTCATATAGTTCAGCTTCTCGGATGATTTGCTCAGCATACAGATGGATAAGTATGGTGAAAGAACACAACCCTAGCATACTCTTTTTCTGATTTTAAACCATTCAGTGTCCCCTTGTTCTGTTCGAATGACTGCCTCTTGGTTTATGTATAGGTTCCTCATGAATACACTTAAGTGTTCTGGAACACCCATTCTTCACAGTGTTGCCCATAGCTTGTCATGATCCATAGTTGAAAGCCTTTGGGTAGTCAATAAAGCACAGGTTAACATCTTTCTGGTATTCTCTGCTTTTAGCCACGATCCATCTGACATCACTAATGATATCCCTCATTCCGTGTCCTCCTCTGAATCCAGCTTGAACAGTTAGTTCCCTGTCAATGTACTACTACAGCCATTTTTGAATTATCTTTAGCAAAATTTTAATCGCACGGGCTATGAATGATACTGTCCAATGATTTCCGCATTCTGTTGTGTTGTCTGTCTTTGAGATGGGCACAAATATGGATCTCTTCCAGTCAGTTGGCCAAGTAGCTGCCTTCCAAATTTCTTGGTGTAAATGAGTGAGTGCCTTCAGTATTGCATCAGTTTGTTGAAAGATTTCAATTTGTATCCCATCAGTTCCAGTAGCCTTGTTCTTTGCCAGTGTCTTCAATGTACCTTGGACTTCTTCCTTGAGTACCATTGGTTCTTGATCATATGCTACCTCTTGAAATGGTTGAACAGCAACCATTTCTTTTTGGTACAGTGATTTTGGGTATTCCTTCTGTATTCTTTTGAAGCTTTCTGAGTCATTCAATATCTTGCCCATAGAATCCTTTCATATTTCAGGTAGAAGCTTGATTTTTTTTCTTCATTTTTTTCAACTTGAGAAATGTTGAATGTGGTCTTTCAGCTCTTTGCACATTTCATTATAATATTTGACTTTGGCTTCTGGAGCTGACCTTCGGCATTTTCTGTTCAGCTCTTGTACCTCCTCATTTCTTCCATTTGCTTTAGTATCTGTGTGCTGGAGCAAACGGCTTAGAGTTTCTTCTGACATCCATTTTGACATTTTCCTTCTTTCTTGTCTTCTTAATGACTTCTTGCATTCTCCTTGTATGATGTTCTTGATGTCATCTCACAACTCCTCTGGTCTTCAGTCATTGTGTGTAATGCATCAAATCTGTACTTGAGATGATCTCTAAATTCAGTTGGGGTATGTTCAAGGTTGTATTTTGGGTCTTGTCAACTTGTTTTAAGATTTTTCAGCTTCAGCCTGAATCTGCATTTGAGCAGTTGATGGTCTGGTTCCAGAGTCTGCCCTGGTGTGCTTTGTCTAATGATATGGAGCTTTCCCATTGTCTGCTCCCTAAGGTTTTATGAATTAATATTAGGATCACTGGAGGTGCAGTGGGTTAGGTGTTGGGCTGCTAACTAACTGCAAGGTTGGCAGTTCAAACCCACCAGCCTCTCTGAGGAAGAACGCTTCTGTAAAGACAGACAGTCTACACGAGTTCTCCTCTGCCCTATGGGATCTCTCTGAGTTGGAATCAAGCTGTTGGCAGTGGGTTTGGTATTTCGGTTTTTCTGTTAGGCAAAGAGGTCTTCGAAAAGGTTCTAAAAGCAGGATCCATAAAAGAAAACAATGACAAGCTCAGCTTTATCCCAGTGAAAGACCTCTGAACTCCCAGAGAGATTACTGAGAATGGAAGAAGCCGTATTCCGGAGAAAACTTTTGCAGATCATGTATCTGATAAAGGACTTGCATTTGCACAATGCATAGAACTCTTTAAAACTCGGTAAAATCAAGGCAGACCCAGCTGAAACTGGGCACGCCTGAAGCGTTGAAGGGGTCCTGATAGTTGAGGGGAATAATTTTAAAACACCATTGGTATCCTTTCTTTCATCTCCCGTTTCTCTTTCCTGGTTTCTTTGTTGTAATGAAAGATTCTTATTCCTCGTGGTTTAGATCTGCACGGTCGTTGCAGCCGTCCTGTGACGACGATGTGGCCACGAATGTGTCGGTTCAGCTCTACAATGGAGAGAGGTGGCAGCTTATCGTCAAGTTGGAAAATATCGGGAAGGAGCCTTTGGAGAAACTGGAGGTCACCTCAAAAATTCTCACCACCAAAGGTAGGCGTTTGAAGCAGGTTTGCCCCCAGAAACATGTATCTTTTTGATTGTAGGACAGGTACTTTCTGTCTTTACTTCTGATTTACAATTTTGTTGATTTTGTTGTTGGGAACATGTAATGTGGAGCACAGCCCGTTCCCCCGCGTCTCCATGTGTATAGGTCAGCGGTGACATTGGTGACACTCTGCCCGCTGTGACACCACCCTCACCCTCTTCCTCGGAGGGGGTCCGCCCCCATTCACAGCGACTCACTGTCCCCGAAGCTTCCTGTCTAACCTTTAGAGTTGCTGCTGTCAGTTCGATCCCCAGAAGAGATGCTTTCAGTTCCAAGTGGTGGGCAACTCTAAAAGCTTCTCCCACGTTTGCGCGGGTGCCTCGGGAGACAGCCTGCCCGTTGATTCTGCTGTCTCCACCACTGCCACATTCATTGTGCTGTTTGTCAGAGTGTCGGGCGCACGTCAGACCTGCAGGACAAAGACATCTGTCTTCTTCATTGATACTTTGTGGAGTTTTTGGTGAAAGTTTACATAGCAAGTTAGGTTCCCATCTGGCAATTTCCATAAAACGTGTGCAGTAACATTAATTACATTTAACACTGTGTGTGTCAGCATTATCTTTCAGTGTATTCTGTTTGTTCCCTTTTCTGTACTCTAGTCTCCCTGTCCCTTGGCCTTTTTGTTGTTGTTTGTGAGAAAGCACTGACCTGCTGGTTTGTAACAAGGGTCCCAATAGTGCAGGGAACTCCCTTGGGTTTTTGTAGGACTCTGCTCTTTCACCATCAGGTGATCTCAAGATTGGATCTTGGTATACAGTCTCTCAAGGCAGTAGTTTCAGGAGGAGCCATTTCTTGAATGAATGAATGAAATAAAACTTTCAAGGGCACAGAAGCATTACTGCCTGGGATCCCTCCTCTCAGTCTCTTACTGGCACCACACGGAGGGCCTGGGATCCCCTCCACAGGACGAGCTGATCTCTTCCGGTTCAAAGGCAGGTGTGACTCAGGGCTGTCAGGCTCGTCTCGGTCTGTGAGACGCTGTCCTGATGTGCCTCAGTTTCCTCATGGGTCAGTGTAACGAGGTAAATATGGCAGAATGCCAATACTGTAGGGCTAAGGAGAAGGGGTGCTCTGTTCCACGCCACAGCAGGGATGAACTTTGAAGACGTGATTCTGAGAGAACTCCGTCCATTATGATGGGACCAATATTGTGTGAGTCCACTTACATGAAGTCTCTAGGAGAAGCAGGGAGTCTTGGTGGCCTGGCACTTAGATTCTGAGCCTTCGAATACAGTCCATCAAGTGTGTCCCCAGCCTAAGGCTGACCACCGTCATCTTGGATGCTAGCAGCAGACATTCGTCTCATCCGGTTTATACCTTAGAGAAGTAGAATCATTTTGTGAAGTAAAGAAATATAGTCACACAACACAAACTTCTTAGCATCTTGCTTCTTGACTCACCTCTCGGTGTGTGTAGTTGTGGATGGTTGCTTCTCCTTGCTGTAGAACCCGCCACTGTGTAGAAGCGCCACACTCCATTCATCCCTTCAACCATTGAGCGCACATGGGTGGTTTCCATTGGGGTCACTAGGAATAGTGTTGCTACGAATATATTGGCACATGCCTTAGTGGACTATATAGACATTGATTTTAAATATAGCTCCAGGAGTGGAAAGTTGGGTTACAGGATATGTTCAGTTTTAGCACCAAACTATTTCCAAAGTGCTTGTACCCGTTTATACCTGTAGTGTATGAGAGTTATGTTCCTTCAAGCCCTCCAACCCAAAACCAAGTCCTCTCACTGGCACTGAGTTGTATGACCCATAGCTACCTGATGGAGAAGAGTAGAATTGTTCCTTAGAGTTTCTGACATTGTAAACCTTTCTCCTGAGGAGCAGTTGGTGGGTTTGAACAGCTGATCTAGAGGTTAGCAGCCTGACATTTAGCCCACTGTGCCACCAGGGGTCCTTCATAGCCCCTCCCATTCTGGGGAGAGGGCGGGGCTTCCGTTTGCATTCTGTTTCCCTGATGACCTGAGAAGTTGAGCATCCTACGTGTTTTCTGCCGCTTAGGTTTTCTCTTTCGTACGAGCCTTTTGCCAGGTTCCCCTCTGTTGGAGGGGTTTTCTTTCCTGTCTCTCTGTCTGTAGATTTGTGAAAGATGATTTTCCCCCCTATATTCTGGATCTGCCTTCTTCATTGGAAATGAATGTTGTGGCTTTCTCCTGCTGCTTTCTGGGTATCTGTGCATTCTCAGTGGTGTGTGTCTTTGGGTGAGCAAAAGGCCTTAATTTTAATCTGGTCACTTTGGTACTGACTCGATGGCACTTAACAACAACAACAAACTTTTAATATCATCCTCATGGTCGGCAGTTCGAAACTACCAGCTGTTCTGCGGGAGAAAGATGAGGCCTTCTGCTCCCATTAAGATTTACAGCCTCGGAAACCCTGTACAGGGTCATTATGAGTCGGATCCGACTCCACGGCACATAACAACAACAACATCTTGATTAGGCCATGATTCCCAGTATTGTGTGGCTTACCTCCGTTTTGTGATCTGATATATATGTCCTATGTGTTGTGCATCCTAATCTCTGACCATGGTTAATAAGGCAGGATTAGGTGATGTTAAAGAGGATTAAGTTGTGTTTGTTGTGTTAAGGAGGCTTAGGGTGGGATGGGATGCAACTCCCAGATGCTGTGTAGGAGGGGTTTCCATGGGGAGTGGCCCGCAGCAGTTTTATCTCAGGAGAGATGAAAGGAGAGAGAAGCCAGCAGAGACGGGGAACCTCCTACCGCCAGGGAAGAAGAGCTGGGAGCCCCTGTGCTGAGAACCTCTGAGACCCAGGGCCAGACTGATGCCAAGACCCACGCAGATCTCCGAGGGATGTCAGGCCCACTGAACGGAGAGAGGGACCTTCCTCTGGAGCCGACAAAGCCTCCTCCTAGAGTTGGCACCCCGAATTCAGACCTGTGGATTCCCAAACTGTGAGAGGATGCTTTTCTGTTTGTTAAAGCCACCCCTATGGAATTTCTGTTGTAGCAACGCCAGAGAACTAAAATGAAGGTGAAGTCCTGGTGTGACGCTGTAAGATAAGAACTGGATTGCTGACTGCAAAGTTGGCAGTTCAAATCCACCATCTGCTCCTCGGAAACTCTAAACAAGGTTGTTATGAATTGGAATTAACTTGATGGCACTTAATAACAACAAGAAGATAACTAAGACACCCCTACTTTTGGATGCAAATACATACCAATTAGGTAAAAATGCCTCTTTGGCAAAAAACCATCATGTGGTATTTTGGCTTTAATTACTTGGTTATAGGTTTTTTTGTTTTGTTTTGTTTTTGATGTTTGAACAAGTAAACTGATATTGAAATGACAATACTAAATTACTAATATTGGAAAAAGGGAAAAGACAGGAGATGGTAAATTTTTTTCAAATCAACTGTCATTTTCTTTATTTTAGCAGCTTAACAACTGGAAAATAACTTTTCCTTCTTTCAAATAAACACACATGATAACCACATTTCTATAATTCATCACAAAACTGCTTGTTCCGGAAGCACAAATCTGTGCCATTCTCCCCTTTGGGAATCCTTTAAGGACGCCCTATTTCATGGCTTTTTCTGTGCCTCCGAGGCCCTCCAGGACCAGCCTGTGCCCAGTGTCTGCTTCTTCCTTCAGCCTCAAGTGGCAGTGGCTGTTGGGAACGATTTCGACTCCTGGAACCTTCCATGCTACTCTTATTTCTAGACTTCCAGATAAGCTGTCTCTTCTCTCTAGAACTCAGCTTGCTACTTCCGCTCCTGCCCCGTTGCCTTCTCAGCTCAACTTTACCCTCTGGGTTTCCACTTAGCTGTCCCTCTCTGGAAAGCCTCTGTCTTAGCTCTCTGGTGCTGCTATGGCAGAAATACCACCAAGGGGTGGGGTGGGGTGGAGGGGCGGCTTTAACAAACAGAAATGGATTCTGTCACAGTTTGGTGGTTGTTAGGTGCTGTTGCGTTGACTCCCACCCGACTCATGGCGACCCTGTGCACAACAGAACGTCCCTGTTCAGCTTCTCCTCTCAGTGAGCACTCAATCCACTTGTGTAACCTTTCCCCTCAAGTTCAGGGGTCCAGGGGTCTCATCGGTATCTGTTTCATTTACAGAGTCCATGTGCTGAGCACACTTTCTTGCTGCAAGTCCTCAGATCTTGAAATGTTGTTTTAGATGAAGAGTGCTACGCCATCCTCTTGAATTTGTCGTTCCCAGCAAAGTAGACCATGGGATTGTCCGGTTCAAAAGACCGACACCAGTCTGTTTCAGCGCACTCATGCCTAAGATAGCGATATTTATGCTGTCCATTTCATTTTTGACCACTTTTAGTTTTCTTAGGTTCATACTTCATACATTCCATGTTCTCATTATTCGTGGATGTTTACAGTTGCTTCTCCTCATTTTGGGTTGTGACCCATCAGCAAATGAAGGTCCTGAAAGCTTTACTCCATTCACGTCATCATGGTCAGCTCTCCTTTGAAGAGGCAGCTCTCTCCCAGGTGTATTTAGTGCCTTCCACCCTGAGGTGCTCATCTTCCAGCACTCTAGCTGACAATGTTTGGCTGTTAGAAGATCATGTTTTTATCTTCCAGTACTGTTTGTGACAGTGTTCTGCTGCTGTCCGTTAGAATCAACATTCAGAAGTGGTCCATCTTTTCCCCTCTCTAACTTCTCCACCGTGGGTGACCCTGCTGGTGCTGGGAATACTGGTGGCATAGTTTCCAGCACCACAGTTTGACAAATTGACAGTCCAGTGGTGGTCTTACAGTGTAAGAGGTTGAAATCCAAATTCTAGGCTGCCAGCTGGAAAAGGTTCTCTGTCACTTCTGGAGGAAGGCCGTTGCCTTCTTTCAGCATTTGTAGGCCTGGTGTCCCTTCGAGTCTCGTCATTGATCTTTGCTTGGGCGTAAGAGGTTCCCAGCACAGTGACTCTGGGTTCAAATGTCGTCTTCGGATTCCAGCTCT